ATTAAAGATTCGCTTTTCAAAATTGCAGACGAAGAATTTGCCATATAATTCCACCTTGTTGCAGAGTAAGTGGACAATTTACATTTCTTTATGTTGTTGGAATTGCAAAAAGTGTAGTATTCTTTTAGCTTCGTTGAATTACACAACCATTTAATAAATGTTGTCACTATATCAAATGGTGCTTCCATTCCTACATCTTGTGCAAACAAGTTGCATCTATGAGCGGGGCAGTGTACTCCATAAAACTTTCTTTCGATTATATTACCTTCTGGATTTTTTATAGGAACTAGTTTCATTTGCATATGTTTAATCATGCCGTTATCACAACCCATATTTGCCGATGCACCATCTTGTGTGCTGCCAATAAATTTGCGCAATGGGAATAACACTTCTTTATTGATATCGAAAGCAAGTGCATTGAATATCCATTCACACATTGATTCACCATCACTTTCTCCGTAATACTCTGACAACAAAAGGGGACACTCATAAAAATCAAATTTCATGCACACACGAATAAAAATTGCGACAAATGTTATACCATCCTTTTTATACGTATCAGTTGCTATGGCAAAACATACACAATTTCTAACATCGTTAATAAGTTGTGTCGATGTGATACTGTTTTCACTCTTCAGTCGACGACGCGCACTTCTAAAACTAACTGCGAGTTTTTTATATATATCAACTGCTTCTGGAGTCAATTGAGATGAAGAAATCACTAACGATTGTTTCAAAATTGAACAACATGTTTCAGAAAATTTGTATTTGGTTGTCAAATGATTTATGATGTTTTGAACAACTTTACGTTTATGAGTCAAAACTTTTTTTCGTTGTTGTTGTGTTGTAACTTTTTCGTCCTTTGATGAATCTGAAAACAGTATGTCACAAGCTCCTTTAAATTTAATTAAATCGATTCCAATTGGAGCTTTACAAAAATGAATTAACTGTCTCGAAATTTCCTCGTCATCGTAATCACTAAATGGAGTTACAGTGTATAACGCAAAAACACCGTCGTTGAAATTGAACAGTTCCTCAACAAAGTTTTCAAGTTCTGACACTTCACATGTTAAATCTTCAGACTCCATTTCATTTTGGTGTTCAACTGTTGAGGAATCATTTAATAAATTTTGTGTTTGTGAAGAAATTGCATTTGAGAAATGTTCTTGATTTTGGAGATGAATTTCTCTTGTTGATGTAATCTGATGACAAATTTCTTCATGTTGTGTGTTTCTTTGTATTGTGTCATTCATATTTTTATGTGTATTTTGAGGCAGACCAATTGCCGATGGAATAATTGAAAACATAGAAGAACTATATTTGAACGCAGAAGTCGTGTAATTCAAATTAATTGGTACAATATCACTTACTGAAGTTGTAATTCCGAATGATGAAACTGTTGGATTGTCTGACAGTAAAGTTTCTGTGTGTGGAAAAGTGAGTGGACGCAATGTTGTGTTTGTAATTTGTAACATTGGAATATTTTCGATATGTGATGACGTGTTTAAATTGGTCAAACAATCGGTGTTCACCAGATAATTGTTCGTTGGCAAATTTGAAAGATTGACTCGATCTCTGTGAATTGGATCGCTTTTCTGAAGCAGTTCTTGTGATATATCGTCTCGTTTGATAATTTTGTTGTTGATTGTAA